CATAGTGGGAGAGGAGCTCCCAGCATCGGCAGTGCCCGGCTGGGCCCCGGTTGCCAGCAGTCCCCCGGCTGCTTTGCAGCTTATTAATCCCCGGAGCTCCATAGCACTCACCTCTCGCTTTGCTGATATGAAGCGATTTGTCATGTGTTAGAGTAACAAAAGCAAAAGCCGCTGGCCTGGTGTCAGCCAGCGCCGGCGGCAGAGGAAGGGCACAGCGCGGCTGGTGACCACGGGACGCGGCGAGAGCCACGCTCTCCTTTGCCACCCGCTGCGGGGCTCACCTGCAGAGCTGTGGTCTCAGGGGAGCGAACGGCACAGGAGCTTGTAAACGCGCAGGGTACTTCGTCAGGAGAAAAATATTAAGCAGGGCAAGGGAGGGTGTTGTTGGAAATGCTGCTTCGCCACAAGCAATAACAGCCGCTGTGCCGTAGATCTCCCCGGCAGAGCTGGGGCGGTTGTGCTGCACTTGGATGCTCCTTGTCAGGGATCCGTACTGCTGGGGGTGGAGGGGGGGGGGAGGAGAGGGAGCAGGAGACATCGGCCACCAGCGCAATAAAAAACAGTCTACAGAGGAGGAAAACGAAGAGCCGGAGCTGCTTTGGCGAGGGTAAAAGGCTGCAAATCACCTCAAATGGAGAGTAAACAAATTGCCGTGTGGTGTAGTAATTTGCAAAACCTAGAGGCAAGCTTTAAAAATAACAGGTTTTATTAGAAGAGATTAATTTTGCTGAGTTTATAGGAAATCTTGGGAGCGGGAGTCAGGGAGAGGACCCCGCTGGATCTGTGCGCAGGACCCAGCAGTCCTGCGGCTTCACCCGACTCCGGGGGCTGCACATGGGGCCGTGCCCCCCACCCCGGTGCGGAGGGCTCCCCATGTTCGTGGTTGGGTTTGTGCGTGGAGGAGGTGGCCGGACGCGGGTTTCTCGGCTCCTTATCCCCGGGGAAGATGGTCGGAGAGGGGTGAGCTCCCTGGCATCACCTCTTGCTGTGTCTGGGAAGGTCTGTGCCCCCCACATTCGAGGCAGCTGCCTGCTGGGGCCAGGACTCCTCCGGGAGAGCGATGGGCTGGAGCTGGGCACCCCTCCTGCACCCCGGGGTGCCGCTCCTGGCTCGGTCCCAGACCCCAGCGGGTCAGGGGCTGCTCCGGCGCCTGCCCGGGGAAGAGGGTGCGGGCAGGGGAGCGGAGAAGCCCCTGGGCTCGCTTGTAAATGGGCTGAGCTTAATATGCAAGTCACTGCTGGGGAGGAACCAGCCTCATGAAAATGCCATTTCCACGCAGTCACTCTCCTGGCCATTATCCTGCTTCAGACAAAAGCAATTTACTCTGCCTGTAATAAAGCAGGGGTGATAACGAAGCTGAGAAGAGCTGTGACAGGCCGCCGTGTGGCGGAGGCCAGCCTCTCCCCACTGCCCACCCCTAACCGCTGGCTGGGGATGGCGGCGGGGGGGAAAAATCCCTGGGAGAGCCGGGAAACCTGGAGAGAGCACCGGGAGGAACCGGCGCTGGGACTCGGCAGGCGTCTGGGTGCGATCGGTTGTGCCGGTGGCCTGGCTGGGGGGATGTGGCTGGTTCCTGGGCACCGGGGCGTGCGCTGGTGCGGTGACCAACGCACCGACCTGCTACTGGACAAGGCGGGAGGGTGTCCTGGAGGGCATCAGCCCTCCCTGCCTGCAGCACTCTGCCCTGCCCGGTGAGTAATGCCAGCGAGAGAAGGTGCGTTTGCCTCCATGGATGCAGCAGCTCTGTGCTGGGAAGGGGTGTCACAGGAGGGACAGAGCAGTGGGTCCTACCCTGTCCCTGAGGGGCACGGCAGGAGCGTCCCCTCGCTGTCATAAGGACCTGAGCACCCTCGTCCCCACTACTGCCAGGGCAGTGACCTGCTGTCTCGGTGTGATGTGCGCCCTGAGCCACAGGGTGAAGCGTGGCAGCAGCCCCTGAGGCCCATCACCATCCCTCCCGGAGCCCAGCTTCACCCCAAGTCAGTGCAGCCGCCCGGCTCAGCAGCAAAGGCTCCATCAGCCCCGAAACCAGACGGCGGCGTTCCTGGGGTCACCAGGAAGCCCATGCTGGAGTGGCAGCCCAAGGTCCCCTTCCCGATGGATGCAGCTGATTCCAGTTGCTCCCCACCACCACCCCAGCTCTATTACATGGGGAAGATGGTAATTAAGAGAACTTTTCTAATTCCTCCCCTGTTGTCGCAGCCCTCCTGCTGTCTGTACCGTCCTGCTGTGAAACAGCAGCCTTCGCCTCCCTCGCCCAGCCCGCACTCGGGAGGGAAGGAGGTGGCTGGTACAGACTCTGGTGTGGTGCCATGAGACCTCTGACCATGGGGCACGTCCTGGCAGGCTGTGGCTGTGCACACGCTGTGGATCCGCAGCCCTGAGATGTCGTACCCACCAGAGACGGCTTTGAGACGCCAGAGACTTCCAGCCCTGTCGGCAGCAGTGGCGGCTGCGCCGTCCCCTCTATGGCTGTCAAGCCCCCGAGAATGGGAGCTAGCGTGGACAGGACCAGAGCGGGTTGCGTGTGGATCGGCAGGGGTGGGAGCAAGGACTCGGATGTGATGGTGCTGCCTCTGAGCCTCATGCCTGTCCTCCTGCACGGTGGCGTGCCTTGCCGGGGGGGCAGGCAGGCTGGGGTCCTCGGAGACCCCATCGCTGCGGTCGGCAGGGTCCCCGCGGCTGGGCAGGACGGGCTGGCTGCTGAGACCCGGGCGGGTTTACAGGGCTGGTGCTGGGAAGGCAGCCTGGGAGGTGTTTCGCTGTGGTGGATGCTGCGGTAGATGGATAGGTAGATACCGCAGTTGCCGTTTGGTTTTATGCTTTTCCTTTCAGAAACATGTCTAAATTTATTCTAAAAAAAAAAAAAAAAAAAAAATCCACCCTAGAATAAAGGTTATTGGTTTTTCCTTTAAGCTTGCCTTATCTCAGCAGAGGTGAGGCCAGCAAGGCTGGGCTACTCCTGCTTCCCAGAGGTGACCAAACAGTGCAGAGCGTGTGCAGATAAATCACTTGTCTGTCTGTAGCCCGCGACCAGCCGGTGATGCCCGGCAATAGGAGGGGTGCTTCTCGCCAGGCTGGTTTAGGGGCTGCGACCAAGCGGCAGGGAGATGGCACAGGTTTCCCATGGCAATGTTTCGCTTGTACCTCCCTGGCAAGAGGCACAGCCCATGACGAGCCCGTGACAGCCCCGTACTGCTGGGTGCAGGGAGGGCAGGGAGAGGCAGTGGGTGGAGAGACCGAACAGATGGTTTGGGCAGGAGCACCATCACGGTGCTGCTGCTCAGTCACGTGTGAGCTCCAGCCAGCGCTGACGGCAAGGCAGAGATGGGTTGGATGCAGCGTGTGCACCTGATGGATGAGTTTTATCAAGTGTTACAACAATCCAGAAAATTCTGCACCGACCCCAAGGGTGCTTTGGAGACCAAAGGTAATATTTCACTTTTCTGCCTCTCCTGTCTTCCCCTCTCAGATCAACTCTGAAGGGCTCCTTTGTACAAAATCCCACCCAGTGTTAAGCCCTGAATATATATTAAAAAAGGCATAAGAGGGTAAAAGCTGAACTGCAGCCCTGTCCTGGCTGGTAAAAAGCCACTGACTTGTGCTTTTCCTGGAGAAGCAACCAGGAGTAAAGCCCAAACAAATCCAGGGAGACAAGGGGAGGTAATCTCGGCTGAGGGGGTGTTGGCATCAGTAGCAGTCCCCTTGGTCCCAACAGCTGAGAAACGTTTTTGGACACTCACTTAGGATCCCAAACAGCGATGCACAAAGCCTGTTCTATGTAACAATCAGTTTATTGCTTTGGTTTTTGCATTTTTGAGCTTGCTTCCAAATTTACAGTCAAGACCCATCCGTTTGCTTTACTAGCATAAAACTTTCACAAGTGTCGGGAGGCAGTTTGTTGCCAGAAATCGCCCTGGGTGAAGCTGACGAACCCAGGAGACAGCATGGTCTGGAGGCAGCCAAGTAAAGCAGCACCTGCAGACCGTCTCTGGGGATGGAGCCTGGAGGACTCGGGAGCTGGAGTACGCTACAGCAGCTTCCAGGTGAGCAGCGAGCCCGTGCCGTGTTCTGGAGGGGAGGCCCTTTGGCAGGGGCAGCAAGCAGACCCCGAGGACTTGTCCTCTGTGCTCGCTGCATTGCGCTATACCTGCTCAAGCAAGTGCCATGGTACCACCACGCTCACACCTAATGTCACCGCCTGCATCGTCTGACCACATACGTACCCACCTGGGAGGCTGTGCTGGGGCACAGGTAGATCCTTCATCTAGTTCTCCTTGGGGTGGGTGTTAAAAATCTGAGAGGTCTAAGAAACGGCCTGCGAGAATGACAGGCAATCTGGGAACGAGGAGGAGCCTTAATTCACTTGCAAGCTGTAAATCAGGACTGGCTGTTTTTCTAAAGCATGTCTCGTACTCAGTGGTGAGAATCGGGGAGCACAAGGCATTTGGCCGGTCTCAGCAAACTGCAAACTATAAGGAACAGCCTTGATCCTTCCAAGAGGACGTGGTGTTCTTGCCAGTAATACTGGTGAGGAATTTATTGGAAGTGCATTTTAACTTTTTCTGATAATAACTGATTTTAAAAACAAGGTTTCTAATGCACCCCAGACAGGATTCTCTCCCTGGGAAGGGTTAAGACCAGAAAAAATTGGCAATCACTGTCCAGCTGAGAACAGGAGGGAATATCACAGCTGTGAGGTGGTCAGATGGCTGTGGGGGGTTGCTGAAGGGGCACCACCTAAGGATCAAGTATTGGGAAGTAAATTCTGGAAAATTACTCTCTCCTCGTACTGAAGAACTTGAAATAGATGTGTTGTGCCCCTTGGATTTCTCTCCAGCACCATGTGCAGAGAAGTACAAGTCAGGAGGAATGGGGGTGATGTACCCACCTCATCCTCAAACACTGTTTAAAAAAACATAAATAAAACTTCTGCCCGTGGGGAGGGAGTCTCGGCCAGCACCCCAGCCTGGGCAATCCTTCCTTTGCCCCCAGAACGATTCAGGGCCTGATGGGATTTTCCCAGATGAGCTCTATCCCGGTGGTTACTCATTGCACTCCCCAGGCGCTACGGAGGTCTGTCAAGGAGGAGATGCCTCTTGGGTGCCAGTCCGCGGCGTCGTGCTCTCCTGCTGCTGCAGCCTCTCCAGCAGGAGCAGCACGTTGTCGGTGAACTCGTTCCGCTGCCTCCCCATCCCACTGAGCTTCACGGGCCGCAGGCTGGTGTGGGGGGGCTCGTACCGGTGAGGGCAGCAGACCTCGTTCAGGAGGAGCCAGGTGCTGTCAGGATCCACGTGCATTAAGTGGAGGAAAACACTTTGGAAAACAGTGGGAAGAAAGGAAAGAAGAGTAAGGAGAAGGCCTTTTGATTGGCACCCAACAGAGTCATTAACAGAGAGCTTTGATGTTGTCTGCAACCTCTGTCAGTTGATCAGACTTGGAGGCTCATTAGACAGAGCCATTAAAATGGCTCCTGTGCCCAAGAGAAGACAGTTTGGTGGTTTCACATCACCAGCAAGCGGAAGAAAAATAGTTATTATGCTACACAGTATGTTATTGATATCAGACAAGCAGTTGGTGAATAACTGACCCAGGCTCTGGTCTCAGCATTACAGGCTGTTGCTGGCAAAAGCCTTTCTGAATCAGCCTGTCCCAAGCACTGAAGAGGTGACCGCAGAGTATCGCATGCGCTACTTACATCTGGCATGTTTTGGACAATCGCAGTGGCAGAGCTCTTGAAAGAAGCTGTATGTGTTGTTCACCACCCACTCTGTTTTCGGGGGAGTGAGGGGGCCAACCCACCAGGACTTCTGTCCCTTTTCAAAGGTGGTAAAAACAAGGGTATATCTGGACAGCTGTCCAGGCTGGGCCACAAGTAGAGTTGAGTGCTGTACTTTTTGCTTATGTGGTCTCCTCATGCCAAGTCCTTGTTAGCCCCCTCCAAATCTCCTTCCTTCCGCACAGCACCTTTCACAAGACGGGATTTTCTTTTTTTCTTTTTTTTTTTTTTTTAAATAAACCTTCATTAACAATAGAACGAAGGAAGAGAGGAGTGACAACTTCCTCTAATGCTTTACTGCTGTATTGATGTTTTTCACTTTGAATTTCAATACCCCAGGTAAGATGGGGGATTTGACTTTTGAGTATGCGCTTCACACTTTGACTCCAGCTGTGAGCTGCTGTAACAAAGATGCTGCGGACAGTGCTGCTGGAGAGCAGGAAGCTCCTAGGAGCAAAAGAGCAAATGGCTGATTTGCATGACCTACATTTACTCATTTCTTTCTGCCAGTTCTCGTTGTGGGTAACCTTTGGGCTTGGCTAGATTTGTGTCAGGGTTTAATGCACAGAAGGCATATTCAGCTGAACCGGTATTAAGCTCTCTCTGGCTGTGCCATGCACAAAATTGAACTAGAATTTGCGGGCTGCCCTGACAGCACCGCACGGCCTCCTCCTGCACGGCGCTGAGCGCTCTGTGCTCCCACAGAGACTACGAGCGCCAAAGGCACTCACCAAACTTACGGGTCAGCTTTCCAATACCTCAGTAAATGCCTGGCCACGTATCTTCAGGCCCCTAGTTTCTCCTGAAATTATGGGGCCATGAGGAGAACAAGAGCTGGGCAAGGTAAGAGAGAAATCAGAGGGCAGGTTTGTCTCTGTTCCCCCAAGAAGCACAGGACAGAACTCTCCTCTCTAAAATCAAAGATCACCTGCTACAAGAGCCACAAAAAATCCAGACCTGATTGCTGCCAAAACTTCTCCCTGAAGAACTCTTATCCCTAAAGTGAGCTTGCTTCCTATGTAGAGCAGGCAGAAATCCCTTGTAGAAGCTCTCCTCTGAAAGGGAGCGCAGGGCCACAGATAACCTGAAAAAGCACAGAAGTGAGATGGAGGCACTAGAAAGCTCCCTCACCTCCTCACAATAATCTTGTGGCTGTATGAATTGTTACCCCATGAGCAGCCAAAGCCGTTGCTTCTGCTGTTAACCACTTGCTTGTCTCTCAGTGCAGGTCTCTGAACAGCAATGAGGGAAGACGTTGCCACTGCAAGCTGTTGGCAGTGTCCCCTCCTGAAGTCGCCTGCAGTGCCTATCTGTCTGCTCCAGAGGAACCCAGCGCGAACGTGCTCCTAAGTGATAGCTGTGCTTGGCGACAACTGCATCGGCAACGTGCCTTCTTTCTGGGGGACAGCCAGACGCAGGTGAGCTCATGGGGCTTTTTCCTACCCTGGCTTTGTTATTGCAGCTCTTCTGAGCGGAAAAGGGAGGGCTGACCCAACCGAGTGCCATCCTCTCAGGTGCCAGACTGAGCGAAGTGCGAGCAGGGTCTACAGCCTGTACCTGCTGACATCCCTGCACCAGCTCTCCCAGCCCTGCAGGCTGCCAGCGCTCTCCGGGCACTCGCTTGGCCACGACAGCGTGAGTGTGCAGCCGCGTGCCTGCCAGCAAACAGCAGGTCCCAGTGGTTTCCCCTGGCTTACGACGGGCTGCTGCATCGAAATAATCCTCGCTCCTTATGGCTGGGGTGGATAGGACCAGGCAAGAAAGATGAGTCACTGGGAAGTAAACATGGGAACAGGGAATACTATTCAGGTGGCTTCTGCTTCTCCAGCACGCGCACAACTTTACCTCTTATATTCACAGCAAAGAGACTCTGCTCTCCAACCTCTTCCCAATGTGCCACTCCGGAGAGAGCAACCCTCAAGAGATTAGCCGGTCCCTGGAGAACTCCACTGCCTCTTGTGCCCATAATGGCCCGAGGTGTGTGATTATCTCCTGATAACCTGGAGTGCTGTGCAGCGTAAAGAACAACTTGACTTCTACATTTTCAAACTAACTCTGGGGTAGTTTCTAAGCAACCTGTTTCCATGGCAAAGAATCCTGGGGTTAATCCAGGTTTGTTTTCTGTTGTTGCTTTTTTTTTAACTTAAATATCATTTTATTGAATTTTGCCTTGTGCAGGTGGCTGTTTTAGTGTACTTCAGCCCAGCTTGTGAATGACAGCTGTCAATAAGTATCCAATAAACTACACAATCAAACCAAAAGACGTACACTGCATAATCAACTTTGGTATCTAAAATGGTCCAAAAATAGCTCATATTTGTTCCAGTTGTGCTAAACAACTTATTCTACTAGCACAGAGCAGAGTTAGGCTGTTCTGTTGCCTTGTCTTTTCCCAAGCTCTAAGCAAAGCCACGGCACAGTGATCAGGATGGGAAAAGGACAAATCTTTCTGGCTTCTGCATCTCTGCCGAATGTTTAACTACATACAGTTCATCACAGACTTCAGTAAGAGCTGGTGAAATTATTTCTGCATCCTGAAAAAAACCCAACTCTCCTATCCAGACTGACCGAAGGGTCAAACAGTAAACTTCACAGGCTGTAAACATTTATTAGGAATTAACTGTACGTTTCAAAACAGTCACTTCAAACTGAAAAAATGCAGAACTATTTGAGAAGTGTTGACATAAGCCAAATGACATTTTCTTAATCTCTTTTCCTTCAAAGTGTTGGTTTGGTTTTTTTTTTTCCCCAAAGTGAAAAGCTTGTCAAGGATGATGCAACTTAATAAATTGATGAGAAGCTCAAATTTACATATTCTGATTTTCAATTTACACCACCTTCCCTCCTGCCTTGTTCCCAGTGCTTGCCCCCCCCCACCCCACCCCTTAGTGTCTCAAGTGTTTCTGGTCACTTTACCCACAATTGCACTGGTTTATTTTCAATGAAAGCAGAGATGTATCCAGTGTTCCCTAGCCTTCCCAAAATCCTCTTCAGTATTTTTTTTTTCCAAGCTTTGGATAATATTCCTCTCCTGGAATACTCCTAGCAGTCACCTTATCATAAAGCCTATTGTCCCATTTTCTCTTCCCTGGACATGCTGGAGTCCTGTTTTTCCCAGCGTCTATTTTTGCCTGTTGAGTACTGCATGAAGCTGCAGTTACAAAATTCACTACTCCCACTGGTTCATCTAATAAAACTACAGGGTCCGATAAATGGGATTAAGCAGCCTCCCTGGGGCATGATAACATCCCTGGAATACAGCCAAAACTCCCCCCCTGTTTTTTTTCTTCTTTTTGTGGCTCCAGCACCTTGGCCAAAAATTCTTGCTTAGCCCTTCGCATGCCTACAGAATCTTCACTTAGTCAATGCAAGGAGTTATTGGAGCTGCAGCTGACTTTGTAAGGCCTGACCTTGTTCTTGGCAGGTCACAACTCA